CAAATGTGTGAATGACAATTTGTGAAAATAAAACGAGGTGCAATAATAAACGGTGAGATTATTTTAAACGCAATACTGTAAAAAAAAGCTCAATAAATAATGTATTACATCTGGGAGAATGTTGCCTCCTTGCGTAGTATGTGCGTATAATTTTGTCATTTTCATTCTAATGAAAATATCAAGCTGTTTTCAGTGGCGTTTGTAGCAAAGCCCAGATAAATTTATTTCGATACACGTCTTTAAAAAAATAAAGTTGATGTACTATCCTTTAAGTAACGTTCACGACGGTTCAATGGGGGCGCAACGGTTTGAATTAATTCTGGGGACGCGCAAGTGTATTGTATCACTCCTCCCCTAATGATTCTACCAAGTCAATCACCAGCACAAGGAACTGATGGAAGATCCGCCGCAGGGATGAGCTTGGCTTCAGCCTTCGTAGAAGACAATGGAGCTGCGTCCAATCAAGTTCGAGCAACGCACAACAGCCTCGGCCATTTCCCTCACAAATGAACGTTGACAGTCGTCCTGTTGTGGACGTGCTGCGAGGGAGCGGCCGTTGCTCTAAACGTCGCCTGCTACATACTTTTCCTTTGAATGCCACACACCAGAGGTCGCAACCGGGTACCCGATACCCGTACCCTACCCGATACCCGGCTACCCGTTCCCGGCCGGGTACGGGTACGGGTAGCCGTTTGCGGCCCTGGTGCGGCCGGGTACGGGTACGGGTAGGCCGTGAGTCACTGGTGAGTAACCGTTTGTCACTCATTTCGGGTAGGGTACGGGGTACCCATTTGCGACCCTGGTGCGGCCGGGTACGGGTAAGGAATCAAACCCCGTTTGCGACCTCTACCACACACACGGTGTTATTCACAAATGTGTTGAGTTTCTTTGCCTTCTGCGAACGCGGTGAAGTGCAATCCGTTGATACGCATGGACCGTATGTTGAACTTCTTTCGCACCGTACGTAGCCAACCGTGCCAATCGAAGCACTGCCCGTTAACAAATACACGAATGCACTCGCTTACATGGAGTAGGTACAAGCTCCCAATTGCATCTAAAGGAAGACCCGACTCAACGCACAGTTGTTGTGGTGCCATTCGCTTTTCAAATGCAAGACAAGAGAGTGAGGATTTTCTGTTTGCACATAGTCACTTTAAGATGTTTTCTTGTTCATGTTTTGTTTGTTTGTTGCGGTTGCACCCGATTCAAGAGCCGAATGGCTTACAGGGCAAAACCTAATAAATGAAACTTGAAACTTGAGTGAACCACGGCGGAGTTTCCACCAGGTGGTGCTGTGTTGGTGTTTTTTTGGTGCGTGTCCGCAGGCCCAGACATCTCGCTCATAAATACTGACTCCCGTTTAACTGGCTCACTTTGCACTTGCAAATCAAATTATATTGTGACCGATCCAGGATGCGATGTACAGAGCTGACACGACTATAAAAGTTACATCCTGGTAACAGAGATATCAGAAAAATATATCTGCCATAACAATAACTTTGGCTGTTTTAAAGCACTTGTTTTTCCGTTTACATGCTTAGTGGTGAATGCACCGAGCTATGGACCTGGCAACGCAAGTTTGATTCCCTTCCACGGCTAATAGAAGTGACTCGCCACCGATGTTAGCCACCGACGTTTAGCAGTGGCCAGGAATCAAACTCAACGCATTGCGAAAACTCCCGCTCATTGTGGTGAAATATGGTGAAATGACCCCCGTGAACGAAACGCGTGGGGAGGCCTTCATCCAGCAGTGGATTGACAAAGGGTTGTAGATATACTTGCTTGTCTGTTTGGTAAATATGCCATTTTTGTAAACATTCACGACAGTATTTGCGAGTACCTTATTCGAAGGGATGCTGAAATAAACTAATAACACGGTGTTGTCACGTCAGTTCCGTGATGTACATTGTAAAGAGTTGTGGTCAGATGTGCAAACACATTTTTAAAACTTGTTTTCCGCAGAACAAAGTTACGGGCTCTTCTAGCCGATTCATTTTTTCCCCTTCCTCTCACCCACCTTCCCTTCAAACAACATTCGACTTGCTTTGCAAACAGTCCAGAGGGGTCCAGGGCTATGCAGCTAAGTAACCTGATAATATATTGACTCTTGCTCGTTACATTTTTGGTCCTCTACAGAAGTGATCCCCGCCCCCGCCTGCTTATTCGTACATTTGGACAAAAATAATAAGTAGAACAATCTTGGCTTTGAGGTCTTGACACGGCCTCAGTGAGAATTTGTAACCGAAAAAAAGCAAAGTTGTTTAAAAGCCCTGTTTGGCATCAGGCGCCCCTGAGAGCTTGTGGTGGTGCTTTTAAAATATTCTGGCCACCTGGCACAGCTATGGATTTTATAACCGGTCGTCTAACTGCAGAGAGATATTTTTATATATACGCACACACACACACGTATAACTGAGCTGCCTTACCATACCTAGCTGAAGTCATCCACCAGACTGCACGTGTCTTTAGGGGAGCTGTGTTAAGAGGAAGCCAAGTAAAATCTAGAGTTCATACCCCTGTGTCGTAACAACTCCCTCCGCATAGTTCCAACTGCCGATTAGACGGGCACGGCCATAGGGCCCCCCCCCACCCAACTCCTCCTCCTCCTCCCACCTTCCTGAGCGTGGCCCTCGATTGGGCTGCCCGACGCGGCGGATTGACAGAGTTTGAAGTGCAAGGCGGGCCAATTTGGAAATCAGTGCGATCTGTGCCTTTCAGAGCTCCAGGCCGCATGTCTTGGATCTCATTCAACCAAAACTGGGCTGGGGGACCGGTATTTAATTCTGGCAGCGAGGGCTGAGTAACAAGTGAAAGAGAGAGAGGGAGCGAGAGGGAGCGAGAGAGAGTGGCCGGGTTGGGAGTCGCTTTCCAGATGCAGGGCTTGCGAGCTGCAGTGCGCAACACGGGGATCGGGCTGAGGGCGTTTTTTGCAGAGAAGGTAGAGTCTGCTGTTGTAAACGACCTCTGAATTGCAGGTGTCTGTTTTGCGACCAAAAAAAAAACCCTTTTTGTTGGGAGGATCTGCAAAATGTTTGAAATTTTTGGTTTTGATTTAAAACTGTTTTGCGGAGTTTGCGCACTGTAAATAAATATTGAGGACCGCTAGAAAATAAACTCCTGCGGTGACGTTTGAAGATATAAATGTTACTCATTTAGCAATTTACAAACATTAAAAACATGTAACTATAAATCAGTTCCTATAAATCTCTGTTTGTAAGATAATAAAAAAGTGCTTTTTAGAGTTAATGGGAATTTTTACAGAAAACCCACCGAGTTGAGGCTATCACAAACTGCAGTAAATTAACCAGAGCAATATCACAATCTTGGATCTGCCAGCTCTCTCGTATCAAAGACCCAGGGCTTTGGGCAGCAGCAGCAGTTCTCCGCGTCGCTCCGCGAGCTCTCGTTATTTTTGGATTCTCCGCCGAGCGTTCGCTGCCCCGACGCCGGGCGTCCGGACGGCCTCCTCCGCCGGGAGGGCACAACGAGGACACATGGCCGTGCCGGATGGGTGGCGGCTGTCCAGCTGCTGCCTGCTGCTGCTGTTGGGGATGAGCGCGTGCCGAGCGCGGGCCCAGGGTGGCGCGGGGGCCTCCTCGGCACGCGGCGGTGCCGGCGCCGGCGGCGGCCGCTCCGTCGGCTCGGCCTCCTCCCCGTCGGGAGGCGTGGACGCCTCGGGCCGGCGCTACCACCGGCTGCAGCACGGCGCCTGCACCTACACCTTCCTGCTGCCCGAGCTCGTGGGGGCGGCGGCGGCGGACGGCTCCGGCTGCAGGGCGGCCCCGGCGGCGGGGGGCGGCCCCCCCTTCCCGTCGCCGTCGCTCAGCGGCAACGCCCTGCAGCGCGACGCGCCCCCGCCCCCCGCCGCCGCCGAGCCCGACTGGGCGCTGCAGCGCCTGCAGCAGCTGGAGGTGGCGATGGAGAACAACACGCACTGGCTGCGCAAGGTAGGCGGCTCCTCCGGGGCTCGCGCGTGTCCCACTGCTGGCGCGCGCGCGCTCGACCTGCGGCTGAACTAGAGATTGGCACGGCCACCGCCAGCCTACCATCTGTTGTAGGTGCCCCCCCCTGCCCCCGAGTTAGCTGAATGGCATTATTCACAAATCAATTTCCTTCGAAAAATTATTTATTTTTTCAACTGCATTTTTGTTTGTTTTCTTTGACATAATAAATGACCAAGTGACCGTTGGGGATATTTAAAATATATTGGGGGTTTTCTTGCAGGGCCTGTCATTGAATGCTGTCGGAAAGTAATTAAGATTTTTTGCAAGTGTGTAATTTTTGTATTTCATCGAGTGGCAATGTGGCCTTGTGCTGCCCAGGATGCGTCAGAACGCATCCGAGCTCCTACATCTTGGAAAGTCAAACCCTGTTACACATTTCCTGGCTATGCCCCCTTATCCATCCCGTGCGATTTTTCATAATGAAATCAAAATTAAGCTTCTGCTTGGCCCAATTATACAGGAATGAATTTTTACTTCATGCTGTACTTCATATATTTCTGCCAACTCCAGTGGCCTGCACTTGTAGATTTGAGGGGAAATGAAACTGCGGCGAAATTGGACTTTAACGATTAAATTACGCGGTGGATTGACGGCTTACTTAGTGCTGGGCCGACAGCCGCGTGTCTCTCACGAGCCGTGTTCAGGCGCTGCACGCGGTGGCTAGGGGTGCGGTAAACCTCTCGGTTAACCTCCCGTAAACTCTGGGGTAAGCCACGTTCCTGCTGCGTCCTCTACTCCGTGATCTCCCGTCTCGCGGCGTGAGCCAGACTCGCAACCTTAGACTTGCGTTCGGGACCAGACGCATTGGCGTGCGCGCGTCCCACCTCCGCAAAAATGTAGAACATCCTTGAATGCGGCACCTTGCTCAGGAAACCAGGCACTGACCCCCTCCGCGTTACCAATTTGTATTTTGCTGAGCAGTCGTGTCCACTAAGGCTCGGGTTGAAGAGCAGCTGATTAGCACTTATGACGGGGAGGGGGTCTATATAAACTGTGCTGTTTCTGCGCCGACCTTTCAAAAGTGGCATGCATGTAAGCGGGAGGAGTAGCACTACCACACACTCTATTGCTCTAATCTAAAACAGCACATACGCCACCAGGGAAAAAAAAGAGACAGACAGCGTTTGTCCAATTAATAGGGCGTAACATTAAACTAGCGCACAGGCATTGCCGTCCGCGGTGTAACGGTCATCAGCGCGTTGGACTTGGCAACTCAGAGGTCACCGGTTCGAATTCGATCTCCCGGCGCTGCAGTGGTTAAACAACGGTTGCTTTAAATCGTAAACAAATCTTGCCCATCGCTGGGTACAAGCCCAGTGAAAGTTGACAGGCGGGGTCGTGTGTCGTGTGGGGAAAGAGTGGGGTGCTCCAACACCTTCCAAGACGTCTGGCTTAAAATAATCTCTTGGAGGGGCTGTCTCCAAGCTGCCCTCGAGTAGAGGTTCTTCTGGTAGCAGTGGTGTGGGTAGCTTTACCTTTTTTTTAAATGAAACTGCATGCACTAAGCATACATAGCCTGCACCTCATCACTCTAATAAAAGCTTCGTTTCACCGGAATAACTTTGCTTTTTAGTGCAATCGTTGAAGAATTTATTTATTTACTCATGGGCTGTGGATAATTTAGCAATAAGCAGCCACATATGCCGTGTTGAGCAAGGTGGGAGGGCTGGCAGGGGGCGGGGTAGACAAAATATATTATGCAATTGTTTGCAAGAAATATTTTGAAATTGTGAGTTGGCGCGCCTGCCTGCCTTGCCTGCCTGCGTGCGTGTGCGAGCGTGGGTGAGTGCATGCGTGAGCGCGTGTGCGAGTGTGCGTGTGTGCGAGCGAGTGCATCCGTGTGCGAGTGCGTGCGTGAGTCCGTGCGTGCGTGCGTGCGCGGTGCGTGAGTGAGCGAGCGATTCCTTCGCTCGTGGCGCTGTGCAAGACGCGGGGTCAAGCGCGGGGGGGTGGAGGGGGGTAGAGCGCCCGAGTGTTTACAGACGCGGCGTGGGGACCGCCGACTCCTTCGTGTTCACACGCCGTGGCTGAGCTCAGCTCCGTCTGGGGCCCAAGGGTTTTTAAACGCCACGCGGCATCGTGCGTTTCCCAACGCGCGATGCCGCGCGTGCGGACGGAAAAAAATGCTGCCGCAGCGCTGGGAAGGAAGCGGTCTTCGTCGCTCAGGCGGCGCTGACTCAATTCGCAACGATGCCGAAAGCTGCTGGAGCACGCAGCCGTTACGCTGCTGCGGATAATGCTGCTGCTGCTAACAAGTCGAAAATCGCCACCGTGGAAGCAACGGTCAGCACGCCGGACCTGGCGATCGCTCGCTCATATTCAATCTCCCGGTGGGGCAGTTGAAGAAATGGGGGAAAGTTTTTTCTACTTGAAATCCACCACCTCCCCCACTCCATCTCTGTCCACCGAGCAGTATAAAAAGGGGTCAAGACGTCTGTCCAGTGTGGAAGAGTAGGCCAAATACTATCTAGAGGGGGGGCACCTTTGAGCTCCCGCTAGCGAAGGCCCTTCCGACAGCAGTGGCGTGAGCCGGCAATTGCAGGGCTGCACCTTGACCTTGCCCCCCCCCACCCCATGCTCCCTCCCTTTTCAGTGACATTGCAGCCCTCAAATATTTTTCTCTCCGCTGGTGCAACAGCAGCAGCAGCAGCTTATGTATTCTGCACAAACGTAGAAATTGTGCAAATTAATCTTCGTCAGGGATAAAATAAAAAAGTTCTACCAAGAAGAGGGGTCTAAAATGGAGCTGGCGAAAGGCCTCCACTGGTCACTGGTTTTAATGACCCAATTGGGGGTCAATTAGTGCTTGAGAAAAGGCAGCTGACTTGCAAGAGGTAGACCTCAACTGGACACGTCACCTTTGGTGATGAATGATCCTTCGACCCCTGGAGATCGAGTCTATACTTTTCTGTTTCTCTCGCGCCCACGGGATTGAAGCCTGCTGGTGTTTTACGTTTGCCCCGGTTTCTCACTGCTTGCAAGACGAGCGTTCGTTGCAACAGTAGCAGCCGTAGCAGCAGCGCCGGCGACAGGGGCACACCGTGGCGAGAGAACGTGGCGGTGGTAGTGGTGGCGGTGGTGTGGTCAGAGTTGGCCGGCGTCTGTCGATTAGCCACAGACGTACAGTGCGTTGTGGCTAAAAATAGTCTGACCCACTGCTCATGCACGGTATCATCTGTGCTGCCTCGGAGCGTAGGGGGCACGAGCGCTAGAGGGAGAACAGTCACCTTCTTCCACTACCCTGCTGAAAGTTCAGGCCATCTCCCCTCCACCCTCTCCTCTAATTGTTACATTCAGTTCTACAAATTTAGTACAGAAATAGAGGACAATTAAGCGATGGGCATCGCAGCCTTTCTTCACAAACACGGCAGTGAGAGCCAGAGCAGAACGCACGACAGCCGCAAGCGGATTGCAACGTTACTCATTCTGCTTAGCGTTCAACATTTGTTTTGCGATCATTTGACACTGGCGAAGTTGTGCCCCAACTCCCCCTGCCCTCTCCCAAGTGGTCGAACTGTCCCTGTATAAGACGGTGCTTCTCACCACACCAAGAATGCGTACTTGCACTTTTCACAGCATGGTTCTTTAAAACGCGACATTTCCACGGAAGGGGAAGCGGCAGTTACCACGGAATGTAGGACGAATAGCTTTCACTCTGGGGCTCCTACACTTCCATTTCTTCCGTTGGCTCCCCATTGATGGGTGCCACGGTGGCGAGATGTTAACTACCTCGCCTGGTATGCATGAGGTCGTGGGCTTCGATCCTGATCCTAATGCCTGCTTATATGGACTTTGCGTGTCTCTCTCTCCATGGTCGCATGGGTTTTTCTCCGGCTCCTCTGGTTTTTCCCTCCACATTTAGAATCAACATGCGTTTATAGCATCTGCCTGCTATACATTTCCACACGATAAGCAACTTCGTTGATCTATCATTTGTGGCCAAGTTGCTTCTGAAAAAGAGCTGTATACCTCAGGGAGCCTTACCTGGCATGCCTTACGGATTGGCGTGCGTTGGTCCTGCGGAACTGGCCATCACTGCTCCCGTTCGCACGGACAAATATTCCCGGCACTGCATCAAAAAAAACAATTAGGGTGCTTGGCAGGGGATGATGCGGTTCCTTAAGCTGTGCTTGGGAAATGTTGCTACGAGTTAACGCTTTGCTGGCCTAAAAAAAAAAATCCGTGAATGAAATAAGAAATGAATCCTCCATTCACACAACACACACCTCCTCCTGCCCCTGAAGCACAATGAAAAAAAAAAACCTGCAATACGCAACGTGTTTTTGGCCGACCGCCGCAACAGAAAATCGTAACGCATGCGCTGTCGCTGCGCATTCTGTGGCTGGTGTCGTGTAATGTTCGCCACTTTTTTCAGTGCCCCAATAACAACCACATACCAAAGTTCTGCTGCATGTTGGGGTCGCATAGCCAGACATGGTGCGTTATTAAAGAGTTCTTGATAGCCTGGGACATTGCGCAGTGTGTCAATGCCACCAACGACATTACCCAATACCACCACCGACTACCACCACGATACCAACACGGCTACTGTACAACATTCTGGCAACCGCTCCTGCCATCGCTACCAACATAACCACGATCAAGACCACTGCTACTACTACCAACAAAGTTACTATAACCAGCACCACCACCATTACTACCAATACCCCCATCAACACCACTACAAGCAAAGCTACCACTAGCAGCGCCACCACTGCCAACATCACCACTCTCACAGCAATATCAACCACTCCTCTCAACACTGCCACTACTAACACTACCACCAACATTACAACCACCAGTACTACCCCCACTACCACCACCAGCAGCCGCAGCAATAACACAAACACCCTAACAAATCCTCACCATGACGACCATCGCCACCACCACCCTGCTTTGTGGCTAAATTCATTTTTGTACATTCTGCTGAGGCCTATTCCTTATATTGGGGGTTAGGGAACAGGCTTCATGGCTGCACATAACGTGTTCTTCACGGTTTGGGAAGTTATGTTCTTGACATAATTCAAGCACTGCCTTTAGCAGCGGCGGTAATTCGACAGAGATAAAAAAAAGTATACGTGTGCAGACCGGAAACAAATAACATTGTGTACGCAAACGGATACGTTCAACAGTAACACATGATCCACCCCCCAGAATGCTTTGCATGTCAAGATGACATGTCAAGATGACACGCCATATCTCCTTGGGGGTGTCCTGTTATGATTTGCTGTTAAATGCTTCGAAAGTTTTAGCAGTTTTGCTCAAAAGGTCTCCAAAGTGTTTTTCGCGTTGTCCTGCAGTGCTGCAGTAACAACCAAGGACACATTTGACCACTGCTTTGCTGCGGATAACATTCATTTGCACATATAACATCATCATTATCATCATCGTCGTCGTCGTATGTCACTACCAACTTAATGTGAAGTTGCTTCGTATGTTCACGGTCATTTATTTACAATGATTTTCCATCAAAAGTGTTTACACATTGCTTACGCATTTCTTTTTGCACCACGTGAAGCCCGTTTAGAGAATCGTGGAACCGTTTCTTTTCGCCGTATCAGAGAATTAAACTTGAACTTTGTTCTGGGCTGCGTAAACATAGCTGCGTATAAAACCGCCCACACATAGGCAGCACGATATTTTGATGCAAAACAAATGGCCGAGGCCAAGGGGGGGGGGAAGAGGAGGAGGGGATGGAGAGAGGGGGGTTAAGTATCAGGGGGTGAATGGAGCTGTGAGTCAGCAGTCTTTCCTGACAAAGTGCTGATATCAGCCAACCTTCCGCAGAGAGCGAGAGAGAAAGACATAGCCACTGGCAAACTATCTAACTGCAAAAATAAACTCCGGAAGCAATAGTTGATTAAATAGTTTACTGCTCCTTCGCCATTTTTGACTGAAGATGAAGCTAAACAAAATCCTACATCCTCATCGCATAACAACAAAGCTCATGTCCCCCCCCCCTCCCTGCCCAGCTCGCCGCCGCCCACTCACAACATTTATTTATGTTTTTAAACATGTTTTCTGGACAGTGTACATGTAACGATAAAAGGATGTAGCTTCGTGTGGAATCCGGTTGCTTGAACGTTTCTGGTTAAATTGCCGTGGGTTTACGACGGTAGGGTCAGACCAGGGTCACCCGACGAGCTCTGTATTTCACGCTAAGAAGAAATGACACTTCTTACATTTTTCTCTTTCTTCTCGTCGTCACACTGTGTGCCCCCCCCCCCCCCCCCCGTTGGCCGTAAACTTGGCAGGAAATTGGCTGACGCACACGGTAGCTCCTCGGAAGACCTGGGGACAGAGGCTTTTTGTGCTAAGCGCTCTTAACCGCCGCTCACTCGTAAATCCCCTGGCATGACAAGGAGCGGCAATTATATTAAAATGCATTCTGGTTTATTTAGGGTCAAAACCACGAAGAAAGTTTTATTGGCCCTGCTTAAAAAGCTTAAATGCGCAGCCCTGCAATTGCCCAGTGGCACCAATGCCGGCAGAACGGCTTCCACTATGAGCCTCTCCACAACACAATGCGTTGGGCCGAGTCTTGCACGCCAGCCAGACGTCTTGAGAAGAGGTGACAGTACCGACACTTTACCCCCACCATACGCGACGCGCCCACCGACTAACTTTGGTGGACCCATTAATTGACTGCTTCGTGACGTGATCTATTGAGGGCCATCGTCTTCGTATTCACGTGCATTGCGGCTCTTGAAATAGTTTTAGTTATCGAATTCGAATAAAAAAATGAGAAGAGAAGAAAGTTGATTGGATAAACTTTTGCACTGAATCATTGGTGTCTTTTTTTCAAGAGGGTCCTGCTTTCAGTTTTTACTTTAAAGAAGTTTTCAGCCAATGAATTAACATTTAAAAACTGTCACACGCGGAGATCGAACCATACCGGCCACCTCTGGGAGTCCAGTGTGCTAACCATTGCAACCAGAGCTTTACACAGCTCGTTAAATTAGCGTTGTGGTGTTAATGCTTCATTACGGGATGCCATCTTGGCTCATGCGTACATTTATTCGCGTATACTGGTGATTAGTGGGAAAATATAATTTTGACAAGTTTATCTTAACTCTGCCGCGGAGGCTGGATGTGTAATTTACCACCTGCTCACGCGTTGCCCAGTTCTGTATGTGGGAGAATCTATTTAGCATTTATTGACATTTAATTCTGTGTTGTGTTTGTGTGCTTAGTAAGGCACAAGGCAGGCTTCGTCATTCCTGACTGCAGTTACTGGGAAGTTCGTTTTTGGAAGAATTTTTTTTTTTAAACCCCTTCAAATTTGTATTGAGATGCAGTCACATTCCATCATCATCATCATCACCAGCCATGGTCAATCCACTGCTGGATGAAGGCCTCCCCAAGCAGTCACCACATGTCACGCTCCTGCGATGTATTAATCTGGCTAGCATCTGCACGTGAGCTAATTGCATCGCTCCATCTCCCTGGCAGGCTACCTCTTGGATGTGTTCCATTCCTTGGCTGCCACCCCTTCATTATTCTTGACCATCGGCCATCATCCCTTCTGGAAATGTACCCTCTCCAAGCCCAATTAAATCCATTTACAGCAACTTTTTTTATGCGAACTGAAACTTCAAAAAATATGTGATGACGCTTTGAGTGGCAGATTTGTGCCAGTAAGTGCGTGGCTTGCAAATGGAAGGTTTCAAAATTTCAAAAACCCAGTTGGGGGCTGGCTTAGGCCATCATCCCTCCATAAACAGTGGTTGTCCTATGGAAAGACTCTTCCTCGCGCCACGAGGATGAGGAAAAATCCACCGGGGTCTCACGGTTGTAAGCAGAAGGGTGCCCGCTCACGCCACTGCTAGGGGAAGGTGCCACAACGAGAGGGAGCTCAAGAGAGGCCCTGCAGAGAGTATTTACGGCCCTGTGCTGGCATGGCCATGATGTAATAGGGCGCTAAAGCACTTTAAAAAATTAGTTTCCCAAGAGGTTTGCTTTCAAATGCAGTCTAAACACCGATCGAGTGGCAAATAAATGGAAACCAAGGTCCTCGTTAAAGGGTGAACTGGGTCACAGCCACCCAAACTATTACTTTAACATTTTCAAGAGTTGTAATTATTGGCAGGAGCTTTCACGCAGCACCTTTTCATCTAAGTGGACCCTCATGGCCATGTCTAATGGTGATAATCAGCGAAGCCTCCGGGCTATTTGCGTTGTAATGATAACGCCGGGAGTTCTCGTGGAGACGAGAAACGGAGCCGGGTGTCCCCGAAGGAAAAGCCCAAGCGAAAGACAAACACATCCCGCCCTTCCCTTCTTCACCTCCCACTCCTTAAGCACACACACATACGGTGGCCGCGGTGGTGACGTGGTCCAGTGGTAGCACGTCTGTTGCTTGTGGCAGAGCTGGGCGGTTCGAATCCCGCGGTCCACCACGGTTAATTATGCGGGGCGGGGTAAAGATTTTAAAGAATTATACGCTATTGTGTGCCGGGCCAAATGTTTTAATATTGCGAAAATTTACTGGGAAACGCACAGCGATTGTCGCCCCTTATTGCAAAAGGCATAGAAATAGAGTACTGAGACTCAGCGATGCTTTCCTGGGTAAATCAGCGTAATAATAAATACTGTCAAACGCATATATGCTACGAACTCAACTACAATACTGTACTACGAACTCAACTACCATACAAGGGGAAGTAGCACATCTCTTGTTTTAGACATTGGGAGTGGGCCTGGAGCTTTCTGTCAGCTTGCTGGAGTCTCTGGGGAGGTCATGACCGCATACCCAACGCAGCCATTGCAGCTGCGCGAGTCACAGTCCTGGACCTCACGCATTTCCCCTCGGCATCACGAGGAGGAGGGGGGGGGGTGATGGCAACCCCAGCTGCAAGTGATGATGAAATTCTTGCTTGCAACTTTAATCAGCTAGACGAGACCAGGCTATTGTGGATTTGAATAGAGTGATTGGATAGATGTATGTCTGTGCAGTTGGAATATGGCAGGTGTAACTTAAGAGATGGCAAGCCGATGGTCAGCGGGCACAACCCAATGATAGGCTCTGGTGCCAAGGACACAGGCCCGCATTCTCTGTTCCATCACCATGTAGTCCAGCATGCATCACCACACACATAAAGAAACACACGCGCGCGCACGCGCATTCATGAACCCCACTTTGGAGGAACATTGTTGTGTCTGCCTGCACTAAATCAGATCCGGAATTGTACACAGTCCAGACGAAAGCTGGGGTCAGAGTTTTTAAGTCTTTGCATATTTGTCTTGTAAGCCCATTCATTAGACTGCGCTGCCCAGGCTAGGCATTCAAGGCAGCACATTAAAACACTGGCCCGTCTGGATATGTATGTGTGTATGTTGAACTTCTTTCACACTGTACGTAGCCAACCATGCTAATTGGAGATGCGGGGGAAGGACAAAAATGCATTTCATGAGAGCCCCATGAAGTGCTCATTATGCGCGGTTATGTCTATAGATATCACACAAGGGTTGCCAATCCACTAAACGTGCAAAACACCAAGACACATCATCGGAAGAAGAAAACTACACGTAAATGCGGGTACGCCAAATAAACGGCCATGTCATGTGTGGTGGAGTAAAGCGTGGGTACGTATTTAACCCCCCCCCCCCCTGCCTCTGTTCACTCAGCCGTACACCACAGTCGTTCTATTGGCAACTTGAGCGTGGTGGGGCAGAGTGTAGGTTCTCCAGTGTGGAGGAGCTGGTCAAAATACGCTCTAGAGGAGCTCTCCCTTCTGGTAGCAGTGGACTGAGCAAGTAATTAACCTTTACCTTTCATTGACCTCTTCGGATTGCCTTCTTCTAAGTCCTCCGAGGTCAAGGGCTCATTTCCTGGGGTGATCGGGCTATTGCCAGTGCAGCTCCCACATGCTATGAAATGACACTTTGCCTTTGCTAATAAGACAGTCGTTAGATATGCTTAAGTCCGTCTTGAAAGCTGAACTCTTTAAACTGGCTTCTACCCCCTAGATCTGGATGTTTACCCTGTAGGTTTTGTTCATTTCCTGCATTCCATACATGGTGGCGCAATGGGATCTATGTAGGAAATGCGCCCTACAAATAAACGTTATGTTTAAGCTTTTAAATAAACTATTTTCTCTATACAGTATATTGTAGTGTAGCTTCTCCCTATTATTTTAGCGAGGTATCTATGAATGGATCAGCCCATACTGTATCGCACCCTCGTCTCCCATTCCCTTCAATTGGCGCGGGGAGTTTATGTTACGCGATGTGGGGGGAGCGGGGAGAAGGGAGGCAATGTGGTAGGTCACGGGGATTAGTGTGAAAAGGCCAAATCGCCCAATAGACTCCCCCCAGCCCCCAAAGGGTACAGCACATCCGGCCAAGTGCCACCGGCTGTGGGCCAGTTGTAGCTGTTGTGGATTGTTTTCCAGGAGCCGTGAATGGCACGTGGCTCCGGCTTGGAACACGTTACATGGTGTACTTGCGTTTCTATCACTCCTTTGCTGAAGCAGCAAACATCGCGCACGCAGATCCGTTAAGGCAGCCATGAGAGCACCGCCTCGAGGCACAACTCTTGTTTTCAACCCTTAGCCAGTGGTGGAAATTCCACGTTCCTTTCGCGTGGGCGAGCCAAGACCTAGGACAATCACTGGCGATTTCAACACGACGTGGTACTTATTTTAACGTCAAAGTCCAGCGTCAGGGATTTCCCTTTCACATGAGCATTGGGGTAGTGCTCACCTCCTGTTTACAGCCCTGAGCCAGTGGTGGAAATTCCACATTCCTTGGTGGTGAGGGGGGCGGGCGGGTCTCTCCAGAGGACAACCACTGGTGACTTTCCCAGAAAGTGGTACTAATTATATTGACACTGGCAGGAAGATGGGCCGATTCAATCCCGAAACCAGAGATTGAACTCTCAACCTTCCGATCGCAAGCCGTTTTGCCCTGCCGCTGAGCCACCTGGCCAGATGCCGGGCCTGACCGTGCTTGCGTGTGAAGTGCAAATCTAAATTTTCACACGCGATTAATGATGTTAAACTGCAAAAACTGAGAGTGAATATTGAAACAACGTTGCCCATTATTTAATGTTTACGTTATACATAATTTCTCAAACATGCGATCGTCCAAATCGACCGCGAGAAAACCTGTAACCTGAAAAAAGTTCGCGAGCGGCGTCGCTCGCAATATAAACAGGGGTCCATTACTTGGCTGACCTCCAAAGGGCCGATCTCTGTTAGAGCCATAAATCTGCCCGAATTCAAGTGAAAAATCTCTGTGCCAAATGCCAACTCGGTAGCATTATAGGGGCTTCTGGAAACGATCCATACAAGATGTTCCCAGTCAAAATGTTATGTTTGAGGTACCATAAAACCAAATGTGGGCAAACACAGACTCAGTCGGGGAGGCCGAGGTGGTAGGGGGAAGGGAAGCGATAAGGTTTGTGCCGCTGCCTATCTGCACGAGGTGTCTGTGCCACTTTGTTCCTGCCCGTTTTACGAGACCCGTTATCTTGGAGTGGGGGCCTCCGAAACTAAATTCTAAGCAGCCAATGTCCGGTTTTTTTTACGAAGGGGGAGAAAAAAACTCCAGTGTTTATTTTACATTTTTGTTGAGTCATAAGATGCTGTTTTGAAGTAACAAAAAAAAGGACAGTTACAGTACGTTGAGTTGAAACATACTTTTGCGGAATTTTTTTCCTTCCGACTCCACAAAGCGTGTGCAAGCTCGTGTGGTGTTATTTAAGTGAATGTTGAGATTTCAATTGATGCTCCACACATCCAGACCACTTCACCGAACCCTTGTCCAGACACGTGTCTTGACCCCGTGACAGATAAGCCCCCCTCTCTCAAACATTCCAGCAGGCAATCTGAATGAATCTGTTACATAAATCTACATTTTCCTCCAAACTAACCCAACCCTCACCCCCTTTGCCTGCACTTTTATTGCTAAGAAAAATTATGTCTAAATACTGTATATACAGATTGTACTTGAAACAGAATATTACCAAAAAATAATGGCGTGGCCTCTTAAAATCCAGTTTTAAATCACATTTAGAAGCAATGAAATAACACTAGAATTAATCATATACTTTGATAGAACCCAAAATTAATTGTTACAACAAAATGACCGGCAGACTAAATAAGGCCTTTAATCTTATCGACCTAAATAAAGTTTAAGTGTTCTTGCAAGCCACTAACCGAATTGTGATCATATCACCATGTGAAGTTTAATATACGAACGCATATGACATGTTGGCCTAACGTTAATGTCTGCGCATGTGGGAAACTGCAAGACTTAACAGACAGAAGCGTCTGCAAGCACAGAAGTGGATGTGTAGTTTGTAACGATGAGAAGATTCCAGGCCCTATAGACCGTCATTTCCGAGGTCCGCAGAGGGCTTCGGAGCCTTCGGGCTTCAATGATAAACCACGAAGAACTATACTCTTAGTTCTTTCGGTAAAGTCACGTAGGTAAAGAATGAAATAAAAATTAATAAAAATAAAATTAATAAATAAAATTAATAAAAATTAAATAATAAATTATTAATTCTAGATTTGAAGCTTTCGTGACTGCTATGATTCATATTCTTAGGTTTTTTTTCGGTAAAGTCACGTAGGTAAAAACATTAAAAAGTAAAATAAAATAAAAATCACGACGTTTCGGAGGCAACACAAGCTTCCGTCTTCAGGTGGTACCGTCACAGCCACGACAGCTGTATCAAGTAAATGAGAGATTGCAGAAGCTACCACTCCGTTTATATAATGGTTGGAGAGGGGGGAGGGCAAGGTACAGCATACTTTTTATTAATATGGTAAGGTGAGGCTTGAGACTAAGAATAGACTGCATAACAAAGGCTGAGCCCACCGAGTTGTAGCAAAGGCTGAGCCTTTGTTATGGAGAGGTGCGGTTTGTGACTAAACCTGTGACAGGGAGACCACCACTAAACATGATTAAACTGTGATGGTTGTCTGTCAAATAAGATTGGCAAATAAGTGTAGTTAAATCTTTTTTGCATGGTTAATCACATCTTTCCAATGTCCACCACATTGATTTTTTTCAACCGTAATTGACACAAATTAAATAAAAACAACTTTTTCTCTCTCCCAACGATTCAAAGTAACGTTTTCTTACCTCCTCGTCCTCTTCCTTGCCGAAATAACTTGTCATTCAGACGCTGTCTACTCGACAGACCTGCTCTCCACCTGAGGACGGCTGCTTGCGTTGTGGCCGAAACGTCGTGAGAATTATTTTATTATGTTTTATTATTTCCATTCTACGTGATGACTTTACCGAAAGAACCAAGAAGATGACTTTTGAACATCTCGGGACGTTTTCACGACGAGAATCGTCGCCGCTCCAACTGATTCAGGAATCGCGTTGGAGGATCGTGAGGGGTTGTGGGTGGGGGCAGGCGGGGGGAGTCGTAAAGTAATTATTTTGGTGCCGTAAATTGAAGATTGGTCGTCGGGTTTGAATGTGGACGTCGTAAAACCGCGCGCGCGTGCGAATCTGTACTGTCGTAAACCGGAGCGTCACCGTAGAAAGTTTTAAGCCCAAAGGGGCCGTCCATAAATGACGTCACGCACCTAGGGGGGGGGGGGGTCAGACATTTGTGGACGATGTGCTGACGAAGGGGGGGGGGGGTTGAGAAATGTGACGTCACATCAAAATGCGCAACTTTAAATAAATGTAGAATTGTTATAACACACTTAATTGTTATAACAACACTCCTACAACATCAGAGTGCAGCGCCACATTAAATACGCACTACGATGACAATAGTTTAAAGCGATTTGAAGCATGTTTTATTTTCAAAATGGAAATATGGTTTTGGGGGGGGGTAGAGCTTTGTGACGTCATATTTGAGGGGGGTCTGACTTTTTGTGACGCCGTGTGACGAGGGGGGGGGGGTAAAAAATCGTTCAAAATTCGCGTGACGTCATTTATGGACGGCCCCCAAACTTTTTAGCGGCATTTAAAAATCTAAAACATTCGTACAATCGATACTTCGTTGCACTGTTAACGTTTCGAAAATTGTGGCCATTAAAAAAGAGGCTTTAAAAAAAAGATAAAATCCGGACAATGTAACCACGAAGTGACGGAGACTTCACGGCGCCTGTGCCAGGCTAGGTGCACTTTGAGGCCACGCGAAGTGTCGACGTCTCGCTGACAGGAAGAGGTCTCGGGACAGACCCAGCAGGTGCCATGGGTTGGTGAGAACTGAGATGACCGGCAGATGCACCCAGCTTTGCCACCCGACTGTGTGTTCCCTGTTCCTGTTCCCATGAACAGGGAAAACAGAGTGACAGACACACTCACACTTACCCTTTGGTGATTTCGGTAAAGTCACGTAGGTAGAAAAATAAAATAAAACCAACTAATAATATTTTCGATTTAAAGCTTTCGTGACTGCAGGGATTCATATTCTTGGTTTTTTTCGGTAAAGTCACGTAGAAGGGAAGACGGCTGCTTGCGTTGTAGCCGAAACGTCGCTGAGAATTATTTTATTATGTTTTATTTGTATTATTTTATTTACTTCCCTTCTACGTGTCTTTACCGAAACACCAAGAAGAAAAAAAAAGAATAATATTTTAATTTAAAGTTTTCGTGACTGCAGGGATTCATATTCTTGGTTCTTTCGGTAAAGTCACGTAGAAGGGAAATAATAAAATAATAAAAATATAAAACAATAATATACCACGACGTTTCGATCACGACACAAGCGGTCGTCCTCAGGCAGTGGAAGTGCTGAACCAGCGAGAGAGCTGTTACAACAAGAACACTCACACTTGCTCCATTCTAGTCTGAGATGGTGATGGCGATTCATGGACAAACCACGAAGGGCCTCACTGACCACGCGGGCATTGGCCCTCGACCATCGCACGGAGTGCGCCGCGTGCGATGGTCAGGTGCTGTAGTCCGACGTTTCGCGCTCCACGTGCTGGGAGTTTCTTCAGGAACTGACTCGAATCAGCTCAATAAGCTGTTCAGCATTGCTGGCTGCTGACGGTTTCGCCACTTGTTCCTGATGCTGATTGGAACAGCTCTCTCATTTAGGCCGGCAGATTTAGTTTTTTTACCTTTAGGGAGCGCTATTCCTTTCATATGCACACGTGGTGGAGTTTTCACCCGGCGCTCCGGTTTCCTCCGAGACAAACAGAACACTTTTTCACAGGAAGCTTTTATAGTTTTTTGTAGTGGAGAGTGCGTGGAAAGGAGGCGTGAGGAGGAGGGGAGTGAGACTTGAGGAGGCAGGAGAAAGTCCACGGATGCTTTTGAAGACGGTGAGGTCGATTGGATTAGGAACCTTGGGAGTGATGCATAGCCGTCAACCCAGACGGTTTACCCCGTATTCTTGTGCAGGGAGATTGAGTTTTCAGGTCCATACGGCGTAAAGCCGTTTCAATACTGGCACACAAAAATAATTGTCTATTTGTTTGTGTTTCTCCTATGTGATGGGACTTTGTAGGATGGACGTTGTGATTTATAAGGGACACGGGTTGACCGATAAGGTCTGAATTGGTCTGTAATAAGGTAGGGCACTGATAAGGGGTTGACAGGTATCGTGACGGGAGGGAGTATTGCGGTGATGTGGTGATGTTTATGGTGCGGGTGAGGAATCTGGCAGAGGTGTTTTGATTAATCGAGAGTTTGTAGAAGCGGGATTCGGGGGTGGGGGAGGCCTTTTGAGGGATGGGATGAAGGCACAAAACGACTATCTCGGCACAAAGCCGTGGTAGGGAAATGGTGAATGCGGGAAATTTAAGCTGATTTTGTTTTACCAGGCGAGAGCATGATGAGTCTCGTTCGCACGAGTGACGGAGTCGCAAAATGTACAAAAGCAAAACAAGCAAAGTAGAGCGTTTAAGCAAATAGAAACCAGAACCCAAACATCTCTGTCATATGACAAATGGAAAATATGTTGCACAGATGTAGATAATAATAATTAATATATAAGGCGCCTCTTAATGCATCTCAGAGGGCGTCAAGAATTTTAACGAGGGAAGCAAGTAAGAAGAAACTGGGGGAGAGAACGCCTGATGTGACGAGACGAGAACGAGTGAAAGAGATCAAGTGAAGGCTTTCTAAACAGGTGATGGCTGAGGGTTCTTCGGGCGAGACTTTAATTGCACCTCCATCGCCTTGGGACGGATTCCTTCACCCTCCGATGGCAGAGAAATCCCTTCGCCCCCTGCAGAGTTGCGATTGTGATGAGCGGGGGGGGGGGGGTGTGAATGTCGTAGTAGCCACGACCTCGATTGATGAAGAGCGCGTCACGGCCGTGGTTGGTGCCGCATGCAGCTGGAGGACTCGGTGAGGGTGGAGGTGGCGCCATCGCAGCAGCAGCAGCGGCAGCAGGAGCAGCAGCAGCAACAGCAGCAGCAACAGCAGCAGCGGCAGCAGCAGCAGCAACAGCAGCAGCAACAGCAGCAGGAGCACGCGGCCGCCGCCATGCTGGAGATGGGCACCAGCCTGCTGAGTCAGACGGCCGAGCAGACGCGCAAACTCACCCACATGGAGACACAGGTGGGGGGGGGCTCACCCACATGGAGACACAGGTGGGGGGGGGGTCACCCACGTGGAGACACAGGTGGGGGGGGGCTCACCCACGTGGAGACACAGGTGGGGGGGGGGTCACCCACATGGAGACACAGGTGGGGGGGGCTCACCCGCATGGAGACACAGGTGTGGGGGGGGGGCTCACCCACGTGGAGACACAGGTGGGGGGGGGCTCACCCACGTGGAGACACAGGTGGGGGGGGGGGTCACCCACATGGAGACACAGGTGGGGGGGGCTCACCCACATGGAGACACAGGTGGGTGACTACGGGTGACCAGGAGTAACTGCGGGTGACTAAGGGTGACTACGGGTGACTAAGGGTGACCGCGCGTCGCGCCGTGGCAGGTGCTGAACCAGACGTCGCGGCTGGAGATCCAGCTGCTGGAGAACTCGCTGTCCACCCACAAGCTGGAGAAGCAGCTGCTGCTGCAGACCCAGGACATCGGGCGCCTCGCGCAGAAGAACAAGTGAGGAGGAGGAGGCCGCCGCGTCGCGTCGCACCGCGCGGCCGTCAGCTCGAGACGATTGTCGGCAGCTCCTCAGTGGCGCGGCCGCCGTGGGTACAGGGAGGGACTCCCCCCCCCCCCCCCCCCCACTTGTTTAGCCGTGGCCGAGAGACGCCTCCAATGCGCGTCGTGCGTGTGACCGTCCGCACCTGCCCCTCTCCCCCTCCGCTGCCCACTCCCCCCCCCGCCCCTACCCTCTTCCCCTGGCCCCCTCACCTGCTCACTCCCCCACCCCTGGCCCCCTCTACTGGCCCCCTCCCCCCCTCCTCTGCCCCCCCTCCCCTGCTCCCCCTCACCTGCCCACTCCCCTGCCCACTCTCCTCCCTCCGTCCCCTGCCCACCCCCCTCCTCCCCTGCCCCCCTCCGCTGCCCGCAGGGAGCTGGAGGTGCGGCTGTGGGAGCTGGGCGACAAGCACCACGCGGAGCTGCGCGCTCTGCGCGAGGAGAAGGCCGAGCTGGAGCGACTGGTGGGGAGGCAGAGCCAGGCGGTGGGCGCGCTCGAGCGCCAGCTCGGAGCCGCCACCGCCAACAACTCGAGGCTGCAGCGGCAGCAGCAGGAGCTGACGGAGAGCGTGCGCTCCCTGCTCGCCCTGCTGCCGCAGTACGCGCAGGGTGAGCGGCGCACGCGGCGGCGTCACCCGGGCGCGCCGTGCGCGCCCGGGTGACGCCGCTGAAATCCACGGCCACTGCAGCCGCTACGGCCACTGCCGCCTCGAGCCACCATCACCACAGTCACCACCATTACAGTCACCACCACTACAGCCACCGTCACCACAGTCACCACCACTACAGTCACCACCACTACAGCCACCGTCACCACAGTCACCACCACTACAGCCACCTTCACCACAGTCACCACCACAGCAGCCACCATCACCATTCACCACCACTACAGCCACCATCACTACAGCCACTGTCACTACAGCCACCATCACCACAGTCACCATCACCACAGTCACCACCACTACAGTCACCACCACTACAGCCACCATCACCACAGTCACCACCACTACAGCCACTGTCACTACAGCCACCGCCACTACACTCACCACCAGGCACTCCAGCCACCTCGATTGAAGCCACTGCGCCTAAAGCCACCGCTCACGGTTGGAATTTGTGGAGTGCCACCTGGGGTTGCCACCTGTCAGTGGTTTTTCCAGGACATCCTCTTGTTGAGGTAGCGACTGTAGTTGCTGTCCTGGGAAATATGTTGCTTCAAAACAATAATCCACCATTCAAGACAATTCCTGTATTGTAAGGTATT